TTTTTTTTTTTTTTCTTCTGAGGGTTAATTTTTATCATCTAAATGGAAAATGACTTTTGCACTAAATAGGATATTGACTTTCTGTGAACTTCACCAAATAACACATGTACTGTAGGTTTTCTCTCAGTGCTCCCACTGACACTCAGGGTAGGACAAATACTACGACTACAAAATGTAAAGCTAACATTTGGTGAAATAAAAATATCCAGAAGACTTAGAGTAAGCGATGAGATCCATATTAACATTTTTTTGAAGTCAAGGTATACAGCAAACTATGATCAGACGTTAATACTTAATATCATAAGCTTTAGTATATTTATCTTTGGGGAATCCTAAAAAGAGAAATCAAATACAATGGGTTACAGTAATTAATTTATAAATCGTTTCACTGTGGGAATAAGGGGTTACTTTATTACTTTCTCGAGATAGGCAGTTCACTCAATTAAGGAAATCTGCTTATTTCTTGCATTTGAAGCCGGACAAAACTACGATATATATATATATATATATATATATATACCTCCTTCGCTTTACTGAGCATCTCGGGCCATAAAAGTAGGGCTACACCATGGTCGTGTCGCCAATGAACTCGCTCCTCAAAGCGTGCGAGTTTATTGCCATCAGTATTCATGAGGCTGGAAGTACCCACGAGGAATAGAAATAACAGGGAACATTAAGATAAAATCTATTACCAGGCCCGTGCGATTCTGAGCCTGGCTCAAGCCGTCTGCCCGAGGAGCTGACTGTGTACGGCAGGGAGACGAGGGGCCGCCGGGGGCTGGTGACAAGGGGAGCTGATCCCCGGCGTGCCCAGGGGAACCCTCCGGGGCAGCAGCGGCTGCTTTCGGTGTAGCAAAGGGGAGCAGAAGGGCTGCAACGCTGGAGCGGGAGTTGGGGGCTCTAATTTGGAGCATTGCTTTAAAAGTTAGCTTGAAGTTAGCGCTTCACCTCTTAAAAAAAAAAAAAAAAAATGTTCCAAGGACAGTGTAGGAAACTTTTACCTCCCGTACTTGATAAGTGACAGACCAGTGCCCTAAAAAACCCTCTTAACCTACTCCTCCTTTCTCTTGAAAGATAAAACAGAGGGAAAACTTGGCTGCAAGTCCCTATGGAGGCTCCTGCCTCCTTGGCAGCAGGAGGCAAGGGGCGGAGGCCGGAGGCAGCCGCCCCAGGAGGCACCAGCATCCCACCGCCTCCCTGGGGTCCGGAGGCTTTGCCATCCCCGTCCCTCGGGCGGCCGCTGTGACCGAGGCCCGAGCAGTTTCTGTGACTGGAGTGAGGAGCTCTTGAGAGGGGGTGTCTCTCTATCCGGGAGGGACTGCTTCACCCCGAGGAGTAACCAGCAGGATGCATATCGCAAGCTGTAGAAACAGCGTGCCCACCCGCAACCCGGTGTCCAGAAGACACTGCGGAGGAGGGACAGCACCCTTAGAACTTCTAAAGGTCTTCACCTCAGCCTCCGGCTGGCGCTAGGGCGGAGGTGTGAGTGGGGCTGAATTTTCTGCCTTTCTGGCCGAAAAAAAAATAAGCCTGTAAACAGAAGGGGTGGTTTTAAAAATACTGGCGGTGGCTGATGTTCCTCCAGCCAAGGAGAAGGTCTCGTCCAGCAGCGCCTGCCCGAGCCTCCCATCCCCATCCCGCTGTTGCCCTTGCTGCCTCGGCCCAACCTCTGCCAGACCAGAGGTTAACGACCCACCGCAGTGGCAAAGCAGGTGCCCGGAGGTATGTGGGCATGAAGGAAGGTCACCGCTTAGCCTGGAAATCCTCCTCTCGGCAGCCTTTGCCACCGCTTGCACAATTTTCTCTTCTCTCAGTTTTCCTTAGGGAAACCTGGCGCACTTGGCCTGACAGCATCCCGGAGAGCGGGGTGCATGCAGAGACGCACTGACAAATACCCACGCATCCTAGGCGGAACAGCATCCTACGCCTTCCTCCACCGAACGGGGACGTGTTCCTGGCTGTCCGCCTGCCTTTCCCGCCGGGCTCTGCCCAGGAGCCCCGCGGTGCGTGCCGCGAGCTGCATCTCTCTGCTAGCCGGGAACGGCAGGTTGCTCGGCTCGGGCCTTGCTCCTGCAGTCGGTCGCTTTTTAGCAACTTTGGAGAAAAACGGTGATGTCTCCTGCTTTCCTACTGTTCCCCATACCTTCCCCAGGGAGGTTTTTCCTTTCCTTTCTGACAGCTCAGAAGTAGCTAGAATAAGTCATATGGCTTTAAAAAAGAAAAAAAAAGTAAATAAATACATATAAAGTATGGTTTGTAGATTCTGACACAGTGATGTCGATAAATAAGGGGAGCCCAAACCCAGTTTCAAGTTACACTCTCTTCAGAGATGAAGTTGCATTCCAGCACCCCAGGGGACGCGGTAATGGATGGAGACCTGGCTCCCTCTCGCACAAGTAATTGGCAGTCGTTCCCTACTTCCTCCTGGACTGGCTGGGGAGCTAGGAAAGAGCTTATGAAGACAGATGCGGACTTCACCTGAGGTTATGGTGTGTGCTCTGTGTGTGTGTGCGCGCGTCCATGTGTGTTTGTGCGTGTTTGCCTGCGTGCCATTTCGGTTGTGTTTATGCGCATAAATAAGAGGCGTTCAGGAGAAACAGAACAATTCCGTTGCACTCCCAGGCTGTCACATCCCTGATCCAAATACCCTGCTGCCTCTCCCCGCTGTTTGCCTGCCTGCAGCCCTGCTGGAACAAAAAACGTAGCATCTGGTCGGTCACCAAGGGGGTGCCCCGGGGGACAGGATTCACCTTGGGCCGTTCGCTAAGGATCCACAGTAATCTCACAGGCACAGTAGCAGATTCACTGTTTCCATAGTTTTGCCTCCAACTCCATAAACAACTACGAGAAAAAATGAATCTACTCTAA